AAATTTCCCAGTCTAGACTACAGCCATGGAATTTCCTGATGGTTTTCCATCCAAATACCAATCAGATCCAATATCCTCAGCCTTTGATAATGAGCCAAGGTTTAGGAAGCACTACCAATTGCTATTATGGTAAGCATGTGCACAGACACACATGGAGGCACACAAATCCTGTTGGTTTGGAGTTTTTTTTTTTTTGAAGGGGGGACATTCATGTCAATGTTGACATCTGACAATTGCCTGGACACACAAGTTGGGAGAAGTAAATTGCAGAATCAGAACTGTCTGTAATTTGGTGAATAACCTCCCCCCCTTAAGAACTAATGCATGAAGTTAAATGTACAGGAGGGTTCAAAATATGGCATGTACCATTTCAGAACAGTTAAACAAATGTTTTGAAAAGAATGAGGAAAGCAACAGAAGGAGAAGACCACACACAAACTCACATGTACACGAACACCATGACATTCCATGTTAGAGCTACAGACTTGTAAAATCCAAACCACAGCTGAGCTATATGGTATCATAAATACCAAAGATAATTAAAATATTGCACTGATAATGTTACCTAATTGGGCAATGAAACATCTGCAAGCAAACAACTAAGCTTAGAGAACACCAATGCCTTCTTAATTAATTTTTTCCCCTTGAGGATGGATAATTCTCACCTCTATTATTTATATAGGCAGGGGCATAAAAAAATCCTAATCCTGATCTGGCTTGTGGACCACAAACAATAAAAATGTACAAAGTAAAATATATATTTTATGGCATATATCCAAGATCAGCAAAGTTAATGTTTCTGTTGGTTTCTGTGGAATTGACCTCCTAATCTTAATGGTGCTTTAAACAAGAAAGACAAATGCCAAAGAGTGAAAAAAGAAGAAACAGAGATTAAATGGGTAGTTGTTTAAAAAGTGAAGCTCCTTTTATGGTCCTGTTCAGTCAGTCCTCAGATAATATGCCAGATTCTTCAGTACAATCTGGTTTCAAGGTATTATCTTAAACTTTGGGACTACCAAAGTACTTTGCATAATCGTGATTCCACCACATGTGATAAAGCAGGTTTTCCAAATCTGGGCACTTCTCAGTGTGTTGATTTCAATTAAATTTCAGAATTCTCAGTAATGGATGTGAGTTGAAGTCACAAATTGAGAGAGTACTCAGGTTGGTGTAGTGAACTATGTGCTTAGTTTTCCCCATCCTGGTCCCTTGCCAATGGTTCCTAGATTCTAAGTCAATAAAATCACTTTAGATATCTTGTGATCCTTGACCATTCATACTGAATTCTTCGTTAGCTCTCCTGCAGCCAAACTACTGTAGAAATGATTGTAATATCAATATAGCTGATCAGGATTTCTGTTACAGTGAAATGGACAGCATATACATTTAATAAATAAATAAGTAAATAAAATAAAATATGCAACTTATTGCAATATGCATCAACCAAATAGAAAGTCACATCTCTTCCAATATTGGAAGGGCTTTAGTATTTAAACAAGAAGCAAACCTCATACTTACTGATAATGCAGTGGTGGGTTTCCATATTTTTTTTTACTAATGGTTTGCTCGTGTGTGCAATGCTTCTGCGCATGCCAGAAGCATCCAGGCAGGTGGGCGGAGCCTTCTGCCGCCACCACTACCAGTTTGCCCAATCCGGGCTGAACTGGGAGCAACCCACCTCTGTCATACTGATGATATTATTTAGCTGGGTAGTGAAAGCAAACTAAACTCTAAAAGCACCAAAAATTCTGCAGTTCAACCCTGTGTTACAGATATTCTATTCCAATTAGCATCTTGTTTATTGGACATATATCAGTCAGACTGCAGACCATATGGATGGGCAGGAGGAGTTCAATTCTTCCTCTTCCATTAACAAAAAACCCACTTTTCCAAAATTATTATTTGCATTTTAATATGTGACTTATGCTTAATATTTGAGTTTCCCATTCCTGATAAACAAAACTACTGGTAGTTATTTTCTACTTTATAAGTATATTTAAATAAGTCATCCCCAAACAAATGCTTTCTAGAAGACTTGGACACATTACCATAAAACTGACCCAGTATAGCTAGTATACTGGGAATTATGGGAGTTTTGGTTTGGTAATATGAAGAACTTCCACCTGAATGAAAACAGGCCTGAACTTTAAGGAAAAGGTAATGTAGAATGTTACGCAGAGAAGGGGCAGACTGCTACCTGAAAAAAAATGTTTTTACATAGCTGTATATTCCTGACCAAGGCAGAACAAATTAGGATTAAAGCATTCCTAATAGATAATTGTCCAGCTTCTACATGAAACATCTGGTAGAGGCAAAACCAAACTTTCACCTTTATGGAACTGTTAAAATTCAAAGCAGTGGTGGGCAGCAGCATTTTCTTTGTTTATTTTATTCAGTTATTTGATTTACACCCTTCCTACTCTGGCAAGTTTGCAAGACAGCTGGCAAACATTAAATCCAAATCTTACATTTAATTAGAAATAACAATTGGTTTATTTTGACTCAGATCACTGGTCCATTATTCAGCACTTTGTACCCAAGTTTCAAAATTTTCTGGTAAAAAAGATTTCCCTGAACATTATACACTATTTCCTCTAAGTGAAAACTAGAATTTCTTTTTTCCTTATTGTATTTAAATATTATTTTTACAGCAAACGCCTCAAACACAGCTTATAAAAAGAAATAAAATCCAAATGATAACATAATAAGTCAACTCACAATAAACATTTACAAGGCTGTAAGAAGCAATAGTGCAAAAAATAATGACATGCCAAAGAAACCTAATTGCTTCAATCAAAAAATCTGGCAAAACAGTCACTCAAATATTATTCTGTAGGGTGAAAAACGAAGAAAAGTTTGATGCTTTCAATCAGCGCCATTTGGGTAAAAGAAATCAAGTGAAGATGTGGATATTCCATTGAATGCTGCATCAATGTGTGTGCCATGTTGATGCTTGTTAAAAGGAACAGGAAACTGTTTAAATACAGTCATGCCTGTTATTTATTTATTTTTAATTCCCATGGATGTCCATACTTACTTGGTTTGGCAAATACAAGAAGCCACTTTACATGCATGCAATGAACTTGATTCTTGGGCCAGTCAAGATTCTGCTCCATTCAGGATAAATTACACTTATAAACAGGCAGCAAATCCCTCAGTCACTTGTACCCATGATGTTACCTAGCTGGGTAATGAAATCTCTGCAAAAAAACAACAAAACTAACATGCTCCGAGACCATAGAACTCAACAGTTCAACCATGAGTATAGATATTCTGATATTATACATATGAATTACTATTTATATCTGTCTGTCTATCATCTACCACCAAGACACTGTATAAGCAACATATTTACTCTGGTTCACAGCAATTGAGTAAAACCATATGACCTATTCAAACATCCAGGGTAAATTTCATTAAAATTAAAAAAGTTAAAAAAATATACAACTAAATATAGAACTATAGAAAGTAAAATACAAAATATGGAATACAACAATTACATGTATTTAAAATGTGGACAATTAACTACACAACCAACATTTATATGGTGTGCATGTTATGTCACTTCTGTGTTGGAAGTGAAGAATGTTTGAACTCTCTTTAGATGGACTGTTTAAAGAACAGTGCCTGGGACTGTCAAATCACGCGTAGATAAGGTAGGCCTTTACAGGTAGACATGACAAAACTAATGTGTACAACTCTGATCCTCCTTTGCAAATACTTAAGTGCAAACTGTTGAAGTAAGTTTTAGGCTGTTTGCCCATATGCCAAATTGGTTGCAGTTTTCTAATGAAAGCTTTCTAGACAAATCTAAAGAGAGGTGGGATTAATCTCATGCTGCATACAGAAGTGCCATCCTTCTTTTCCACTTTCAAAGGCATCCTGTTACAGATTTCAAAGACCAGCTCACCTCCACACATTAAAATCTTCTAAGAAAGCGCATTTCCAAGCATCATGATTGGTAAGTAATGTATCTTTAAACGAGAGGGTCTTTTCCTAAGCAAGACTAGCTTACTTGATGTTCTTGTTGTTTTCAGACCATTTTAATTCATCCATTTATTTAAATGAAGTTCATTGCTTTAGTTCTGCTTGATGCTTTCATTGTCCTGTTAAGTCTCAGTATTAATTAAAGGATGATACTTTGTACTCTACAGTATTGTTCTAACCTATTGCATCCTTCTCCTCATCTGTTTAGCAGAGAGACAGAGAGAATATAAAACAGAATAAAAATAGCTACTTGGGATTAGATTTTAGCTATCTTGAAATATAAGGAAATGGTCCTTATTTATTTTGCCCCCTTTTAATTTTCTTCCAACAGGGACAAAGAGAGATGGTTGAAAAGCATTTTTATTCCATTCTGAAAAAAGGGGCTTTGATTAATGAGATAACTGGCACTTCCACTGGGGGTGTGTCTCTGGGTGTGAACAGACGCTACTATTTCTCCACCTCGGGGATCAAAGGGCTTCTGCCCTAAGAACCTTTCATGGCGAAGGGAGGTAGGGGAGGTGAAAATCAATAAATGGCAAGCAGGAATTCCCTGGTAACTCTTCTGGCTACGATTCACCCTGAGAAGAAAAACCCTCTTGGCGCCCTGCGGCGGAGCGTGTCTCGGAGCAGGCAGGCGTTAGTACTCAATAACCCTGGACCTTCCCGGCGGAGTAACTCGGGCTTTCCCGCAACAGACAGAGGGTCCTCTTGCAACACGCCGGCTAAGTCAGCCAAGCGATCCCGGCGGGCCACCGGAAACGCCCTCCAGAAATCCCCGGGGCTGCGGCGGCAGGGAGCGAGGGCGGAGTGCCAGAAGCGAGCGTGGGAGGAGCAGGAAGGCGGGCAGCCTTCACATGGCCCTGCCTGGGGCGACAGGAGCGACCCACGCTCTCCCTGCCCTAGTCGCTGCAGCCTCGGGCGGAGCGAGGTGAGCGGCGGGCTCTTGGAAGCGGCTCCTCGCTCGGCGCGCGGGATTCGTACTTGGTTCAGAGAAGCGACAGGCTCTTCGCGGAAGCGACGCGGGGGGATCCGGGAAGCTCGACGCCTCGTCTTAGTCCCAGAGGTTTCCCAAAGCCGGCAGTGATATAGACCATTGATTGATCGCGGAGGTCGGTCGCTGAAGGAGCTGGCGGGCGCGATGCAACTTCTCCGAGGTTTCCTGGTAGCTCTTGCCCTGCATGTGGTGGGCGCGCAGGTGAGGTGAACTTCGGAACGGACTAATTAATCGTCCCGGTCTTTGGCGGGCTAGATCTGTCCGGATTTGGGGTGCGTGTGCGTGCGTCCTATTTCGCGTCCCAGCGTGCCTGTTGGGCGTGTGATGCCCAAATCTATCCCGTGTCATTCTCCTTGGTCTGGTGGTAGGGGCTTGCGATTGTGTCCCCTGCTCTTCTCGGAGAGGATGGAGCGAATATAATCCCTGGCGATCGGCACTGTCCTTTTTTAAAATTATTATTACTAAAATGAGAAAAACCAAACGGGAACGGACCTCGGAGGCGTTTTGCTCAGGTCTCACAACTGTAGGAGCTACACGGTCAAGTGTTTCACTAATGAAGAGCGGAACGTCAAGGCACAATTAAACTCCCCATTATCATGGGCGTATCTTTAAATCATCTGACCTGAAAGCCCAGTTGTGCAGGAGGTGGTTAGAAGTATTTAGTTAGTAGAAGAAGGGTAAGATCCGCACGTGCCCAGAAGCTGCAAGGTAGAACTTCAGCACTGAAGAGCAGAAATGGGGACTTGGATAAAACTTTTGATGTGGTAGAACAGGATGTAGACTCTACAAGGCTTGGAGAAAGGGGTGAAGGGAATTCCCAGCACAACTTTCAATTTAGAAAACATTAATACAGTGATTTTGATTATAAATATGGGGACAAGTTGATGGAGAACCAAATTTCAAGTTTAAATTCAGTAGTGTTTTGTTATCATTCTTTAATTGCCCCTATCATTCTGACCTACAACATGTTACTCTTTATTTTCCAATCTCCTCTATAGTTTTTTATGAGTGAAATGCAGGTTTCCATACCATAATCCCATACAATAATCGAAGGACCATATTATTGTGTGCAGAACATGGTTTTCTCCTTTTATTTAGGTTTTTCCAGCTTTTGCAAAAGAGAAATTCAATTATCTCTATTCTGCAGTTGATGCTTTGCTATCTCCCCAAGTATCTCTTTTTAACTCATCTGTAAAGTTGTTATGTCCACACACAGACAATCGGAGCCAGGGTAGTCCTGTGCAGTGAGGTCACTGAGGTCAAGAACAGTCTGGCTAAAAGCACCCTAGGGTAAAGACTTCTCTGGAATAGTATGCTTCACAAATGATTTGGAAGAAGTGCTCTAAAAAATAAAAGAGGGTTACGTGAGTGGAGAGACAGCTAGAAGACATGATTAAAAAAAATAAAACTTTTTTCAAGTTGAACTAGACTCCTGATACCTACAGGGACACATCCATGCTGTTTTCATAGCAACAACCATACAGAAGTGATTTGCCATTGCTGCCTTTATTTCATTGTTACTTCCCAGGACAGTTGCAGCCCTGACATTTCTAGCTGATCTCCTACCAGATAGTAACCTGGTTTGATCCTTTTTAGTGGGTTCTACATCAGGCATAATACAATACGAAAAGGGAAGGAAAGAAGGAGAAAAGCAAATTAAGAAAATTAGTTTGCTTAAAGACTAGCTAAATGCAGTTGAGAAAGAAGAGGTGACTGTTTTTTCTGCAGAACTGATGGAATGACTCATTTGCACTATTAAAATGATTAAATGTTGCGTAAAATGTTGTTGGGTGCCTTCTGCCCATGATCTGTTCCTTGACACTAGGTTGGTTTTCTTCAGCTCAACACCCTCTAGACTACAGTTTCCAACATTCCAGCCGGCCTGGTCCCAGAGACTGAGAACATGGAGATTGTAACCTAACACATCTGGACAGCATCAGATTGCGAAAAAATCCATTAGTTTCTGAGGCAGGTTTGGAATAAATTCAGCCCATGTGCTAAAAGTAGTATCCGGTATTAGCCAGTAGGAAGATTAGATATTAGGTCAAACTTTAGTTGACTGCAGAAACTTTGAAATGCAGGAATATTCGATGGCTAGTCCATCCAGAGTGACACATACAAACAATCTACAGATTTAGTCTCTGATTAAAACAATATAACATATATATAAAACAGGTAGTGATGGATTGTTGCCGTCAACTTTTTTTATTTACTGTAAATGACTGGTCATTTTTCATTTTTATTCAGGGAAGGGCATCAAATTATTAAATGTCAACCATATACAGCTGTATTTGTACTTATGAAAGCATTTCTCAGTGAACATTGTTATGAATTATTATGAGTTACTTCAAAGTAATAACAATCAAATTCATTAACTGACTGAACAAAATTTGTGGAAAAAATCATCTTTCTGAATGTAGAGGCTTACCCAAAGTATGCTTTTCTTTTACCATTCTCTTTTCATATTTCTATTTTCCTGCCTAATCTTAGGTCTACCAAGCTGCATCTCTAGCATTGAATTCTTCTTTGTCCCTTTCTCTTCTTTCCCCCCCCCCCCCATTCCATTTAATCATTAAGGACTCTTCAAATCTTCCTCCACCTTATATAAATGTTAGAATGACCAGATATGGGAAACTGTGTGTTAGACTGACACCTTGTGGGTGTCAGAGCGGGAACTGCAAGAAGACAGAATAGCACCATCAAATGAATCATTGCAAGATAACTTTTAATTAGAAATGACAGATGCTGAATCTAAAAGCTTTTTCTATATTTGATTAGGTAGTAATTTTCTCTTCTTCTATGTATGTATATGCCAGGGCTAACTCAAGACATTTTGTCGTTTCTCTTGAAGGACAACTGCATACACAGAAATCAATCTGACTAGTAGTTCAAAAGTATTTCTATGCTGGGAAGGGAATTGCATCCTTCATCACATTTGAGACAGTAAATAGTCTTAGAATATTCAATCAGCTTATAAACACAGGAAGAATTCTGCAGTACATCTTGACTATTGGAACACGCTCTACCTTTGAAGAGCATCCGGAAGTTCCAGTTGGTTTAAAATGCAGTGGTCCGTACAGGGGTGGGTTTCAACCGGTTCGCACCGGTCCCTGCGATCTGGTTGGTCGCCGAACCCGGAAGTAAGTAACTTCCTGGAACGGCGAAACCCCCCCCCCACGCGCGCCCGCACACCCGCGCCCGCTCCTTACCCGGTTTTTACGAATTCTGCGCTTCCACGCATGTGCAGAACGCATACAGCGCCTGCGCGATCCTCCAGGAGCAGCTGGAGCATCGCGCAGACGCTAGTACGCATGTGCGCACCGCGTGCGAGGACGCCGCACGTGTGCGCAAGGACACCGCCAGCCTCGTTCCAACCGAACCGGTTGGAACGGGGCGAGAAACCCACCCCTGGGTCCGTATGGTTTTGTGCAGAACTCAGTGTGCATATGTGTCACCACTCCTGTGGGAGCTGCATTGGTTGCTGATTTGCTTCCAGGTGCAATTCAAGGTGCTGGTTATCACCTTTAAAGCTCTTCATGGCTTGGGATCAGGTTATCTGAGGGACTGTCTCTTGTTGCTCACATCCAACCAACCCACTAAAGTGGGGAGGCAAGGCATGTTTTTGTTCCCAAACCTAAGGAGGTACACCTGATGGAACCCAGAAGAAGGGCCTTCATTGTGTTGGCTCCCTGCCTCTGGAACATCATCCCTCCAGAAATTAGACTGGCCCCCACTCTGACACTCTTTAGGAAGCCCTAAAGGCATGGTTTTTCCAGCGGGCCTGGGGAACCCAGAGCAGGAGTCCATTAAATCCCTGATATGAGTATGTGCTGCCACCGGGGCGGGGAGTGGGGGGCAGCAGTGGGTGGTTATTTTTTTATTTTTTTCTATATTGTGTTTTATTTTCTGTAAGCAGCCTAGAGTCGCCGTGAGCGAGTAGATGGCTATATCACTTTTCCAAGATAAAAATAAATAAATAAATAAATCAGTGTGATCTGGCCTGGCAACTTTTGCTCTACCATCTCCTCATCCATGTTTTAACTAATCACCAAAAAACATCCAATAAACCCATAGAGTATTTTAAATCTTCCATTCTGAAGGTGGAAGGAGTTGATTTCAGAGTGGGAGGTACAGTCTCAGAAACCTTCTTGCATCTATCCTAGAAATGTCTAGGACCCTTTTTCCAAGATCTTGATAATATGTTAAAAAGCAATTTTCCATGGGCATGTTGGGACTCAACCTGTGGGTCGAATGAATCCTTTTTTCAAGACCCATTCCCAGTATTCAGAGAAATGTTTGCTGTTAGGATGAGTTTCTTCTTAAGAGGGAAAATTTAAAAGTAAGTAAAGAGGGTGTGACAAGGATCATTCTTCCTGACCTTATTTTCTGATGGAATGAGTTTACCAGAGCTTTGGAAGGCATTGTCTTAGTTTTAGATCTTTTACCAAACCATAGGTAGACCTCTCCTGTTGTTAATGGATGGATGGATGTTTGAACTCCAGCAAACCCTGGGATGAAGTTAGTGGACACTTCCCTTGTGTTATCGTTTGTTTAATGAAATAACAAGATTGTCACATATCTCTGAATTCAGTTTTGTAGACCTGGAGTTTGCTCCTCCTGGGATTCTCAGCTGTAAGCCATTTCTAATTAAAAGTCTGGTTGTTACAGTTCCCAAATGTCTTGGACAGAGGTCTTAAACTTGGCAACTTTAAGACTTGTGGTCTTCAACTCTCAGAATTCTCCAGCCAGCAAGAGAATTCTAGGAGTTGAAGACCACAAGTCTTAAAGTTGCCAAGTTTGGGGACCCCTGGTTTTGGAAAGGGGCATGTTATGTCAGCCTTTCTACCTTTCTGTGTCTGGAATGTATTGGGAAAATGACCTTTCCCCCCCTTTTCCCTTCTATTTCAGAAGAAAGATGTGATTCTTCAGAACAGCAAAACTGATGGAGCAGGTGAGTATGAAGCATGTGAAGCATGACCTTCTGTTATAGTGTGGATTTGGACTATATATGTGTGTCTGTCTAATCTATAATGCGAAGAGTCTTGGAAGCTGTTTATGTGCTCTGATGCTACCCTTTGGATTTCTTTTAAAAACCCTCCACCCTTTTTGAGAATCTCTTAACTCTTGATTGCAACTTCTCATGTCACAATCCCCTCCAAATTTTTCCTTTCCCTTTTTCAATTACTACTTTGTTTACTTAGATTATAAGGTCTGAAATAGTTGAAATCTGTAGAAATTGATAATAAAGAAGGAAAAACACTATGGTTCAATTAATATTTTCTTTGGGGAAAAGCAATTTGAACATAGTATAAGATTTTCTTCCATTTTCCACACTTCCAATAATGTTCACATTCCCAGAAAATACGGTTTGTGTATTTTTTTAATCTTGCTAGCTGCAAAGAATCAGTTTATTGTTACTTTTAATTTAACTGATTTTTTATTCGTCCACAATTTCCAGTTAAACAATTAAGATTCAAAGTATTAATGGAAAAGACCTTTATTCAACATCTTGAAGAACCATGGCTATTCAGCAGATGCAAATCCAGTATTTTTTTTTAACTTGGCAGACATCCTTGAACAATGAGTAATAAATGATTCTTCAAAAACCTCTGAAATTTTTCAATATTTCCCCCATTTTTGGAGAAATTTTGATTGAACTCTCAAAATGATTGCAATTTAACCTGTGGGGTGTAGGCATCATTTGGTGGGTGTGGCTTGGTGGGCATGGCAGGGGAAGGTTACTGCAAACTTCCCATTTCCTCCCGATCAGCTGGGACTCGGGAGGCACAGAATAGATGGAAGCCAGTCAGAGGTGGTATTTGCCAGTTCTCTGAACTACTCAAAATTTCCACTACCGCTTCTCCAGAACTGGTCAGAACCTGCTGAATATCACCTCTGCTCAAGGGAGATAGTGCTAAAACAGAGGCAAGGCAATTTCCTATTCATAAGATTTAAGTGATAGCAATAACAATAGCACTTAGAGTTATATACCATTTCACAGTGCTTTTACAGCCCTCTCTAAGCGGTTTACAGAGTCAGTCTATTGCCTCCAACAATCTGGGTCCTCATTTTAACCATCTCGGAAGGATGGAAGGCTGAGTCAACCTTGAGCTGGTGAGATTTGAACTGCCGAACTGCAGCTAGCAGTCAGCTGAAGTAGCCTGCAGTACTGCACTCTAACCACTGCACCACCTCGTTGATAGAAAGGATGTTGGAGAACATCTTGTTTAATTCCCTACAAAGTGCAGGAATCTATGAGATTGCCAGCAGGTGACTATCCAGCCTCTGTTTAAAGCTTTTCAGCAATCTCCGAAGGAAGTCTTGTTGCACAGCTCTTGCCAATTGAATGTTTTTCCAGATGTTTGACTAAAACCTACACCCATGTAATTTAAGCTCATTATTTTTGTCCTCTTCTTTGGAACAACTCTCAAATCTTGTGTCCCAACTTCTACATAATAGTTCTTTACACATTGAAGCAGTTATCATCTCCCCACTGTCTTTTCTCCAGCCTACACCTACGCACCACCTCCCAATGTTCTCCAAAGATTTTTCCTTCCAGATTCCCTATCTTTTGGATTGCTGTCCTCTGGAGACACTCCAGCTTGTCAAAATCTTTCCTAAAATGTGCTCAGAACTCAGAACACAACATTCTAATGCAGTTTGACGAACATGCGAGAGAGAGATGCAATGGCTTCCTGTGTGCACTTTCTGCCATGGATATATGAAAAAACTGGCACTAAATGCTTTACTTTTATACTTCTTTTCTTTTTTAGTGGTATCCTTTTTTGATGTTTGGAATCGCAGCTCCTGCCAGCCCTTGGAGAAACTGGTCAGTGTTGTATCAGAATACCCACATGAAGTGGAGCACATGTTCAAACCTTCCTGTGTTTCTTTGCGTCGCTGCTGTGGATGTTGTAGAGATGAAGCACTGCAATGTGTCCCAGTGGAAACGGCCAATATCACTATGGAGGTAGGTGAGAACACTATAGTTCCATTTATCCTGGGGCACAGGGTCACTTCCTCACTTTCTCTGCCGTTAGCTGTCAACCCTTGTTTGTTTCATGGAAATGCAATTCAGAGTTTGCTCCCAAGAAGCTAATGTTCACTGCTGAAGTTCCCAAAGAACTGGAACTGTTCTTAATATTTTGGTTAAAAGCTGTATATTATTTTCCCATCTTTTCAAAACTCTACAGCTCCATTGTATAGGACAGTTAGATGGTATACTTCAGTCCCCAGAATTCCTCAGCTAGTATGCTGCCTGAGGAATTCTGGGAGATGAAGTCCACACATCTTAAGACTGCTGAGGTTGAGAAACATTCTCCTAAGAGACAGAAAAGCAGTTCTGCCATGGAGTCAGATGAAGGAATTGCCTTAGAACCAGACTGGATGACACATTTACATTTATGTATGAATTTGTATAGTATTCTTTTTACTTTAAGGATAGGTCTGTCTGTTTATGTAAAATTGGGACAACATAGGTAATCCTTGCTTACCAACTACAATTGGGATCAGCAATTCTTTCATTAAGAGCAGCAGTCCTTAAGGGAGAGATCACATGGCCATGACTTATAATTTCACTTCTGTGTTTTGTATTAATTCTGCTTGTTAGAAGCCAGTTGTGAAGCTGGCAAATGACAATCATGTGATTGTGGGGTGCTGCAACAGTCGTAAATGCACACAAGTCACAAAGCACTTGATTAGCAGTCACATGACCACAGGATTATGCAACAGCCATAAATGCAAGGATTGGTAGTGATTTTTTCCCCAATCGCTATGGCTTTGAACAGTTACTAAACAAGGCAGTGGGTGAGCGAAAACTGTCTGTGGAAGGTGTGGAGATGTGGTGAATCCTATCTGCTTTATGGTAATTGCTTTTCCCGAGTCTGCTACTTGCCGAGAAGGAGTTATCAGATGTTTAGCTAAATAACTATTTGCCCCATTGGAAAATAGCATGAAAAAAAGTTAAAAACCACTCTCCCAACATTGATCAAATTCTGCTTATTATTGTTCCTCATGGGTTGTTATTTTTAAAAATAAAGCTCAGATACATCACATGGCTCCATATACAATGGAATACTTGCAGTGGTGTACTGGAGCCAGATTTCACTGGCTTGTGAGAGCTGATTGTTCTGGAATTTTATGGGATAACAGCAGAGCTGAGCCTTGATGCCCTGTGTGCCAATCAGCTGTTCCGTGATGGAATGGTAGCAGTGGGAGCCAAAGAAGCTGGCTATTAAATATTTCTCAGCATACCACTATTTACATGCATAAATTGTTTTTAACATGTTGTCTTGTCTGGCCAATAGATGCAGGTGGCCAAGAAACCTTCCCTTTCATGTGAAAGTAAAATGCATTGTTCTTTGTTAATCTATGGCTCTGGGGAACAGAGTCATACTTTTAAAAACTGCTCTTTTGGCCAAGTGGGAGAAGTGAAAAGAGATAAAGATGCTCAACAAATTACTTAGATTTTACCCTTTCAGCTCAAGAAGATCAACCCAGATAATCAGTTATCCTTCGTGGAGTTGTCATTTACTGAACACAGGAAATGTGAATGCAGGTGAGCAACTTTGCTGTGGCTTTTGGTAAGTGCACCTGGTGCTTTAGTGTCCAAATTAGGGAACAAGGGAAAACTGGTTTTTAATAAACCCTTCTTGAGAATCTGCCTCTTCGTTGAGGTCTTTGCTATTATATTTCAGAAACTGGTACTTCAGACTTCCTGTTAATGTTACATGACATTATGCACATGAATGCACATGAATTGCATTAGAGAATGGCAGACTTTAGATTCACAGGGTCAAGTTTTTATTGGAACACAGCTCCAGCAACTGAAGCTGTGCAGATAACTGCTATAAGTTTAAAAACACATATATGGTTTTGTGATTAGCACCAGTATCAAGCTTATCTCTCTGTTCATACAAACATTAGGATTTCCATTAGAGATGCTTTCCCCATAATCATGGTGTAAGAGAGAGAGAGAGAAAATAAATGTTTGTATTGTTGATGTTAACTAATTTAGAGTCAGAAAACATGACTTCAGGTTTATAACAGATCACACAGATATACATCAGTGTTCTGAAATAAATTCTGCTCATAGTTATTCTAATTGGGGCAATGTTTTGGGTGACATCATGTTAATAGGATTTACCAATCCATACCATAGTTCATCCTCTGTATTAAAAGGAATATATTTTCACTGGGTTCTTCAAAACCTAAATTTGCTTTTCCCATATCCAAATAAGCAGTTGTAAGATTAAATTAAGGTGTCCGAGAGATCAAAGTGTTGACTTCTTTCTTTGCTTCATGAGCCCAAATATGCAATTCTCAGTTGGGTCTTTATATAATTTTTTTCAGAAAGAAGATTTTGTTGGTTTCATTGGAACTAAGCCTGACAGGATCATTAAATCTCTTACTCTGCTATTCCTTAAAGTCATTAGAATTTAGCATGCAAATAAAATTAATAGGAATTGGATAAAAAAGTTTTCATAATTCTGCTAAACAGTTTAGGAATGTGGTTTTTTTAAAAAAACAAACAAACTAAAAAAAGAATTAAGGCATAGTTCTCAGCAACTGAATTCAGTACCAAGTGCTATTTTCTGTTTATTTTCTGTGTTCTAGTAGAAGATCAACATGCAGACAGTCCTGCAATTATCATGCATGCCTTGTTGCTTAATAAGCTGACACCATGTGATGAAATATGGCAGAGGTAGCAGCTGTTCCAATTCAGCTGTGACATTTGGGACCTTTACAAATATCTCATCTTTGCTGAAGGAGGGAAGGAAGGAACAGTTTGTGTCCTGCTTATGTTCTGGCATTGAAAGATAATTATGCATCAAGTTGATCAAACCTCTAGAACAGTGTTTCTCAACTTGCAACTTTAAGATATGTGGACTTCAGCTCCCAGAATTCCTTAGCCAGCCATGGGGAATTGAAGTTCACACACCTTAAAGTTATTGAAGTTGAGAAGCACGGCTCTAGAACTACCCAGAATGGAAGAATTCCTAGTAATATATGGGTGCTGATATGCACTATTAATTCTTCTTATCCTCTGATGATCATGTTATGTGCCTTCTGTGACTCTTTAACAAAAGATCTCTTTTTGAAACTTTGGAGGTTGTTCCCCCCCCCCAAAAAAAATCCTTCCCTCCCCTACACCTTTGAATTTCTTATGAAGATATAATCTTCCTATATAAGCCAATTCTTTTCAGACTGGTATTATTAGGCATTTGTTGGGATTCCTGGAAGACCCATTGTAAATCTGACATATCCGGCTCCAGACATGTCATCTCACACTTCATTTATTACTCTGAAGTGGGCTGAACAAACAAAGCCTTGTTATACTTGAGGCTTTGGGAGGGTGGGGGAACCCTTAGAGTCTTCTCTAATTACTCTTGTTGAAAATAAACAGGATTTTCTCTTTCTCGTTGCAAGAGGAGGCTTAAGGAGATTGAGCAGAAGTTGATAAAGAAGAACCTCAGTAAAAAAATCAGAAATCAGAAAATCCAGACCTTGCCTTCTTCAGTGATACGGTCTTATTGTAGTTCTGGTCTTCTTAGAAAATGACAAAAGCTTCCCCATTTTTGCTCTAGATTTCAGTCTTTCTGTCCACTCTTGCCATTATCAAAGTTGCTGGAGATTTCTGAATCATCTGGCACACAGCATGATGGTAAAGGCAGTGTAGCATGGACTATATTTAAGGAGTATGGGATGTGGGATACTCTTTTAGGAAATCTGCCCTTTCCCTCTGTAGCATCACGTCTTCAAGGTGCTCTGTATATATGTGGCATACATCACCATATGCTAAAAGTGACTCATTCTGTTCCCCCAGGCCCCGACAAGATGCTCTGAAGTCAGGGAGGTAAGTGGCATTACTAAAGATTCTGGAGGCTGGGACTCTCTGCAATGTCTTACCTCCCATCCGCTCTTTTCCCCACCTTTCCTCCAAAAGGAGGAGGAGACTCAAGGGACGCAGCAAGAAGAAGCGGGGAAAGCAGAGACCCAAAAATTGATCTCTATGTGAGTATCAACAGCAGGGGGAGGAAAAAGAATACTATGGTGTGTGAGTCAGTATCTGATTTGGCTTCTGGACCATGCAAAGCCAGTGGGGGGAGAAAATCTTGTTGGTCTGGAAATCTCATCTTACTTTATAAATAAGCATTGCATCAGTGTGGATTCAGCTGCACCCATTTCCCCATTCTCAAATTCTGGTTTTTATTTTTTATTTTTTGGGCTGACCTTAAGAGTGTGACTAGACAGCCATGGCTTTTCTTGCTCTTCTCTGTGCTCTTTTTTTTCATGGCTACTTAGATAATGCTTCTATCAAACAATCTGATTGAGTAGCTATTAGTTTAGCGCCATAGCAGCCAATGAATGAGTGAGCATAAAAACGATGCTAAACAAATGCTGTATAACACCAGCAGCCAAACCAAAAAAAGGGAATAGCTTAATTTAAAGACAATTACTTTTAAGGAAGGTGCAGAACCAATGAATGTCCACACACAGAGGGGAGGTGGGGATTCTAATACTGGGCTGGAGAAATGAAACTTGATTCTTCAGGATCTGCCTGTGGCAGAGTGCAGGAACGGAGCTCAGATCTATGCTTGGCTGGAGAAACATAGCTCAGATTCCAAAGATCCAATTTTTGTTTCTCCAGCTCAGCATAGAAATGTTCTTCCATGGAGAGGAGAACTCATGTGGCCAGCAGGAGAAATGAAGCTTGGATATTTGGGATCTGAGTTTTGCTTCTCCTGCCCAGTACAGGAGTTCCTTTCCACGCACAGGTGGGAGGGGAAATCAGGACTCCATGTCTACATCCCAGGAGTTCCCTTCCTTCAGCAGGCAGATGTTTCACTCCGGCTGTGTAACAATTCACATGATTGTTAATTATCACAACTGGAAGAGCCAGGATTGTGATCATTGAGCGAGGCAGTCATGTGGGCTATTTACTTAACAATCACTGTTCAATGACCAAGATAGTGGTTGTATGTCAAGGACTACCAGTAATTGCCATATTCTATGGCTAATAGTTTTGCCTTATTCTTTTGAAGGGGAAAAATAATTCTGTTTTGAGATTGTTAACATAAAAACATTGTGCTACAATATTTTAAGATTGAACCTAAATGTATTCCTTGCAAGTTTACTTTGGAATAATAAACTAATATTTGCAGCTTAAAAAAAGAGTTCAACCAATAGGAGAAATTAACAGAGGTTTTACATACAGTGGAATGTAATTTTATTTTCTCTGTCTGGGTTTTCATTTTAAATTATTTATGTAGACATTAGCATAAATCCACCTTCTGTTCTAATGCATTTATTACAGCAGAGCAGATACTAGAGTTTGCACATAGAGTAGGAAATGTAGTTCTAGTTGTCCATTTTCCTTGTTAATATTTTGGGGCTTAATTTATTTGATGCTGAGCCTCTTCTGTGCTTTCTTTCCAGGTGTGCCATTTGATGATAGCTGTTGCTTTCTCAGCCAAGGGCAGTGCCACAATGCCTCTTTTTAAATGCTAAATCATCTTCAACATTCCTCTGCAATTACAATTTTGACTGATGAATTCAGGGGTCTGGTAACAGCTTGCTCACTTGAAGTGCCAGAGCAAAAAGGGAGGAGTAAAGACAACATCCCAGTGAAAATATGTCAGGACATTCTGAAGGAGATGTTTATATATATATACCTGTTTATCTCAGTCCATTCCCTGTCCACACAGAGCTAATATTTCACTCTGATTTCTGCAGAATTGAGAGTAAAATGGAAATACAAGAAAACAGCAGCTGGTTTATGTTTTAAGTATTTGGAGTTTGGAGAACTTAAGCTATTAAGACAAATGCGAATACTTCCTCCTGGATATTTTCTGGATATTATCTCTCAGTTGAGAATTGAGAAATGAAAGGGAAGAAAAGTTTGAGCTACGCTTTGCCAATCCTTGTTTACGTCTTGTTTTTCACCAGGGTTAATACCTGGAGAGCACTCCTTCCTATAAAAGATGTCTAAAGCAACAAATTAACCTTGATAAATAAGAGCTAAAACTCCTTGTCAAGTAATATTGTAGAAGTCAGCACTTCAGAAATCAGAGCCCCAGGCAAGGAAAAAGGGAGAGCAGAGAATGTGGTTCCTGCTCAAGTTACTATCAGTTTAATGTACATGTAGGCCTTTGTTCCCCTAGGAAAATTAGTTCTGGAATATCCCCACAAAATCATTTTTCTCAAGAAAATGTAATGTTGTGCTTGACACGTTTTGCTAGCTCTCCTGCATAACTTGCAGTGGAAATTGTAACTGCTTATCAGTGTATTGGATTTTGTTCATACATGTAGTCCTCGGTTTGCAACCACAGTTGAAACCAACTTTTCCATTGCTAAGCAAGACATTTGTGAGTTTGTCCCATTTTGCAACCTTTCTTACCAGTTGTTAAGTGAATTTGGTTTCCCTGTTGACTTTGCTTGTCAGAAAGTTGCAAAAAAAGGGTGATCACATGACCCCAGGATGCTACAACCATCATAAATGCATGCCAATTGCCAAGCATCCAAATTCTGATCATGTGACCCAGGGGGATGCTGCAACAGTCCCAAGTGTGAAAAATGGTCTTGTCACTTTCTTCAGTGCCATTGTAACACTGAACAATCATTAAATAAATGGTTGTAAGGCAAGGACTACTTGTATAGCTTGTTTGGTGGGGGGAGGATGGTTGTTGGAAGAAAAAAAGTTCACAAAATAGGTAAATTCTCTGATCAGCCACATTGTAGACAACCTCATAGCTGATTTAAGCATGCTCAGGCAACTAATATATTTCTGCCTGTCCGCCTGATTGTAAAATAGTTCAGGTCCACACTCAGTCCTAAAAGAAAAGTATGTTCCGGTGAGCTTTAAAATGCTAGTGGAACTGAACACAAAAATGTCTTGTTTTACCCTGAGATACAAGTGCACATCCAATAAAAACACTAATCTTAATAATTGCAAGAAAGTGTTCAAGATCACTGCTAGATTTTAAATTAGCTTCTGTGACCAATTTATGGAAAACTTATTTTTAGAGATTCTGGCTATCCAAAAAGCACAGGTAACAAAAAGAACAAATAAAGACAGGTATTATGTCCATCTTATATACATTTCCTGAGGTTTGAATAAATGTAGAAGAGAATTGTGACATGTAAGTTAATGATGGGAAATAGAAATATAAGAAGTTTATATAAATTATAATGGCATACCTTTTGCATGCAAGTCTTGCAATAATTTGCTGTGAGATACTTTGGTGTGTGTGTGTGTGGTGTGAGTGAACTCAAACTAAAATAGGTGAATGGGAAATAGTAACTGTTGGTCAGGAAAGGACAAGCAAGCATCATTATGTCTTCATTATTCCTGTATCTACAGCTGTTACTGATTCATATGAAAACCAGGTGGAATTTTCCCGAGGCTCTACATTTGTGAACTGTTATATTCGACAACATCCATGAAAGGAAAGAGAACTAAATAGACGATTAATTTAACTCAATGAAGTATATTGCTTCTTATATCATAGTAACTTAATGGCAATATATTCTTGGTCCTCCTGGATTGAAATATTTTCTTTTGTGTAGTAAAACTGCTTTTTCACTCAATGCAGTGCAACAACATTCCAAATAAATGATTCTAAATAAAATTGCTTTATAATCAAGACCCAAATGCAGATTCTGAAAATATTTTTATTGGCTCACCTACTTCCTCTTTTGAAAATGAACTTGTCATCTCTGGATGTATGAGAGATAAATTCCAGTTGTGATCCTTCTGAATTGCTGAATGATTTACCAGAGATAAAGAAAGCACAATCCAATATGTTGGCTGTTAAAGAAGAAAAACAGCATGCTTCCTATGTGACTTGGAGCAAATAATTCAAAACTGTTCCTTTGTAATGTGAGTGTGATAGAGGAGGAAACTTGTAAAAATAAATGCTGCATGACTCTTGGAATGTTTTTTTATTGTAGTAATGATAACCAGATAAATATATTTTGAGAGGTTGCCAAACATTTCTTTTTAGGCAATTATTTTCTGCCTTGTAATTTCACTGACTGGAGAGCCTTAAGAGATGTCAACGATTCAGTTGTTTAGATTGGCTATCTGTTTAGATTGTCTGAATTCTTGATCTGGAATATAGCTTTGTGCTTGATAGGGAGTTCCAAACCTGAAGGAAACTTCTTACCCATCTGCAAAAGAATGCAGAAATTTCATACAGGATATTGTTGTTAGGATAGGAACCAGTGGTGGGTTCCTACCGGTTCAGCCCAGTTCGGCCGAACCGGTAGTGGTTTGGTGGCTTGGGTTGCTGGAACTGGTGACGACCCAGGCCTGCCATGTCCCCGAACTAGTTCCCCGGTCAGTGCTGTTGGTGCTGCCATCTTCTTTTTTTTACTTCTGCGTATGTGCAGAACAATTTTAATTGCACTGCGCATGCACATGCAGCATGCATCAAGCACACACATGCACGCAGGGTGTAAACCAGCAGTAGTGCCTGCTGAAACCTACCCGAAAGGACCTATAAGGCTTGGGGGTTTTTTTTTGTTACTTTCTGTGATTGGCATCCTTTTTCCTTCTGGCTAAGAAATTTTCCCTATGATTTTTTTCAAATTTTCAAGCCAAATCTCTCAGTATTTACTAGATATTTCTTGGGTTTAAAGTTGTAGCAATGGGCACCCAAAATAATCAATGATATGTGTTTCCTCTTGAGCTTGAACAAATCTAAATTGTTTGGTTCTGTATCTGCATTTGGAAATGTTTTATTCATTTTTTATTCTCCCACGAACTTCCAGATTTTAGCCGCTTTCCAGTGATTCTATACTACTAATCATTGTTATTCACACATTGGGCAGAGCAGGAATCCTACCTTGGTTTTATAATTCTCATACTTAGTTATTGGGTGATACTGTCTAGCTGACTTTGCCCCACACAAAATTTGCAGTATTTGCAGTATGAGACATCTTATAGTTCAGAATGCAACCTTCACTCTGAGAAGGACAAGGAAGTGATGGGGAAAATGCTTTTGTTTGTCATATATTAAAATCAAATTTTCATTTAGCCAATTGCACTTTTTCCCCATATGACTGAGAAAGACACAGAAAATATGAAGTGATGTGAGTGCCAACATTACCAATAAAGAGAGGTTGTTTTTGGTGCTCTCTGAGCTTGAAGTCTGTAGAGATTTTCCGTCATCCAGGTCATGGTTGTCCCAAATATGCTTTTTCAGGAGGCTTTCTTATTCTTTCTTTGAAGACATTTTGCTTCTTATCCAAGAAGCTTCTTCAGCTGTGCTTAGATCCTTCCATTCCGCATCATCCAGTCAGAGCTGAGGAAGCTTCTTGGATGAGGAGCAAAATGTCTTCAAAGAAAAAAACAAAAAAGTCCAGTTGCCTCCTGAAAAAGATCTATGAGCTTGGTTATTTTCTTGCAGACATTTCATCACAGAAGTTAAGTAACATCATCTGTGACTAGCACAGATCACTAGCATGGATGATGTTATGTAGTATTTTCCCATCACTTTGGGTAATGAAATACCAATTAGAAAACAACCAAGCTCCCAATTATACTTCATTTAGTACCTGACTAGTTCCATGACTTATTTTATTTTATATTATTTTAATTATAAATAAACAAGTGGGAAACAATGTCATAAAGCTAATGAATCATTTTCCCCCAAGAATGCTGGAGGCTGCATAAAACTTCTGAAGGCATTTGTAGAAAGTAAGAGTTAAAGGCTGAGGCTTTCTCAGTTTCTAAGAAAAAGGCTGAAGTGATTCAGGGACTACATGATAAGAAGGATGTCATCTTGTTCTGATCCCCTTGTGAAAAACAGATGGGGAATATAATAATACATCCCCCAAATCTGTATTCTCTGCACAAAAAGTTTGAAGATCCCTAGATTATAATATTTTAAGTATTATTATTATTAACTACAATTGAACTACCAAAATTTCAAACAGAAATAGTTCCTGCTAAGCTGTGAGGTCCTTCTTAAAAAAAAAACACTTCTTTCTGTCTTCTGAGAAATAGTGAACTGAAAATGGCCCCACTTTTAGTAGCAGAACTGCAGCAGAACAAACATTTAGTGAGCAGACTGGCGTTTGATATTTCCTCTCTGGGTAAGAAGAGGACTGAAGATCCCCCCAAAAGCGCTCCAGGCAATTGCTCCTTGCAAGAAGACTGCAAAAAAGAAATCTCCAATGGGTCTAAGAGCTCTGGGAGATGTATGGTATATCCATTTTGCTGAAAACATGGTCGGCACCTTTAAGATCATTGGGTTCACTGCTCATTAACTGTTTTCAGCTATTAGAAACCTTTGATTAACATGTTTTACAGCACTGGGTGAGTTTCTGTCAATCCTTAGCGAAAGAAATTTTAAATAATAATTTAAAGGAAAGGCTTAACTTTTTTTTGAACAAACAGCAAAAAGTGGTGAGAACTTTGATTTTGGAAAATTACAAATGGATTAAGGGACCAGTTAAATTTGAAATAAGATTTTGGAATTAATTTTAAATTAATGGGAAAATGTTTTTGTTTTGAATTCTTGATTACAATTAAAGGAGAATGCAGTTACATTTGATTTAGTAATACAGAATGAAGAATTGTTTTAGCAATGGACATATTAAATGATATTTTTGAACAATAGATTCAGAAGTTAATTTTAAGAGTGTAGCTTCTATGGGTAGAGTGTTTCGAATATTATGGAAGAGGAATAACTTTAACTAGCAAGTTTAAGATTGATCTGAAAGTGGATTTTAAAATGATAGGGTAAAGAATGATATGGAAAAAGATATACACTGGACATATAAAAGAAAATGGATTATAACTTGGATACTTAGATAATTAAACTTGGATAATTAAAAGAAACATAAAACAAGAAGCTAAGATAATTGGATAATTTTCTTATATCAGTTCTACAAAAGAGACTTGTTGAAAACTATGAAAAATGTCAGAAGGGATAAAAAAATGAAACCAAGACATTATTTGAAGGAACTAACGATCAAGCTTGTTAAAAGAAAAAGAAGGCATATCAAGTTGGTTTATTTGATCAATATTAAAATACTCTGGTAACCCTTGATGGGCTTTTGCTGATTAGGATTGAAACAATGAGACTTCAAGTATTTGTATTTGTCAAGACATGGGATAGGGGAAGAAGAGATCCTTTATTGTAATTTAAGAGAAAGTGATGTTACTAAAATAGTTTATACTTGTGATGAAGGGGGAAATAATTTCTTTTTCTTTACTCTATTTTATTTTTTTCGTTTCTGTTCTTTATTTTTTTACTTCTTTGTATCTTCTACTTTTTCTTCTCCTTTTATTAATTTGCAATTGTAATTTTAACACTATTTTTTAAAAAAGAGAGACCCACAGAATGCATTTCCCAACGTTTGCAAGGACGCTCTTCAAGGCAGAATAAAGGCACCTTTTTGCCTGAAACAGAGGCACCCCAATCAAATTAGAATACCGAGATCAAAGCTAACTGCTTCTGTTATCACTCACAGACATTTAGTTCTGTGCTCCAGGCATGAAACGAGAAGGAAGTGCTCCAAAATTAGAGATAGTGAATTGCTCAAACATACTTTCTTTTCAAATCGTGATGTTTACTTTGACGTTACATGGCAGAGGTTAAGGGTAGGTTATCAGAAAATAGTTGGTGTCCCCCCCCCCCCGTTCACAGAATCCCACGTGACCCTTTGGAGAACCAGAGCTCGCCGTGCAAAGAAATGCTTGCGCTCTAGTTTCCCCGCAGGCATGGAGTAGTAATGATTGCACGGAAAAGGTGTGCTTGTGTGTGTGTGTGTCTGTGTTGGGGGGGGGGTAGTCAACAAGAAACAAAACCTGTTTTCTGAGAAGATACACCGCATTTCCAACCGATCGTCTGCCCTCCTCCTCCTCCTCCTGACTTTACTATCTCCTACAGTTTATTCCTCTCCAAGACCAGCGCCTTTCCTTCCTGAAGCGGGAAATCCTGTCCTCCCCCCGACTTCCCGACCAGCCCCCCCCTCCCCGTCTGTTCCTAGCCCTATGCTAGCTCGTTGGACCCCGCAGGCCGGCTCCGCGAACGCCGGAGAATCCCGCCGATTGGAGCTCTATTCTAAAAGACGAGAGGATGAGCTCATCCTCAACCAATGGGAGACCACCGTGGACAGCCACGGCGGTACAAGTTGCAGCCTACACCTGATTCCTCGGGTCGCTGCAGCTTTTACTCGGTCCGAGATGGATAGGGGCGTGGAAGGTCCCGTCTGTCTCACCTCCGTTCTTACTAGCCTCTCGGGGCCGTCAGCTCTGCAAGGTATTGGCGAGACTCGTGGATCTCCGTGAGGCCCACGTCCCACCCTGCGCCTTCTGGGACCACCTGTCTCCTTGCCGGTCCAGTCGCTCCGTCACGGGTTTGCATCATCTCCAGGATGAATTCAGTAACTGCAGCGCGATTTCATTGGTAATTCGGTCTCGGGGTGGAGTAGGCAGGGCTAGGCGAGGTCAGCTCCTCGTTCCCCTCCCGATGGCGAAAGCTCGTACAAGGCCGCCCGGTTGCTAAGCTTATGCCCGTGATTCTGCAATGCTAGCAATGGATGCTCCCTTCTAGCGGCGTCTTACTTAAAGCCCTCTGGGATGCCTGCAGCAGGTCAAGCCAGAAGGAGCTTCTCCACGAGAGCATCGGTGCCTGCACTGCGGGAACCCGAGGTCTTGTATACCTCCATCTTGGCTGGGGCGTCCAGCGGGAAAAGCAATCGGCCTTTATCCTATTAGACTGGTCTCAAGCCGTTAGCAGCTACCATTGCGTGTCTGCCTGACCTGGGTACAGGAATCCAAAGTAGCCGGTGGATTTGCTTCAGCTTCCTTGCAACGGGTAGGGGCATCACACCTGGACTGAGCCCATTCAGATAACCCCTGGCTGGCAGCAAAGAGTTAAACATCCTCTTCACTTCTTAGGGGCACTTACTGGTTGTTTGGGGTTTTCCTATGGGCAAATCATATAGCCCATAATAAGGAGTTGCCTGTTTATTTTAATTTTTGTTGCTACTTTGGCCCATTCAGTCAAGCAAATTTTAAGTAGTGTGATTCTTAACCAACCCCATCCAGTGGTCCTAATGTTGCATGGCAGATACCAGATCTTAGCCACTTGCTGCTTCTTTCTCTAAAGGGGAGCTGTAAGCTTTTAGTTTAGTATCATTGATTGAAAAGTTGGTTAACAATGGCCCTTTTTATTACAATAATTCTTTGTAATATAGATATTTGCAGATGCTGCAGATTTTAGTTGCCAGTGCAGTTTGATAGAATACCAGTTGGAATAGCTTTAGATCTGGATTTAATTACTCTTCCCTCTTTTTTTTTTAGACCTTTGGAGGCCTTGTTCATACTGCCCTGACAGCACCACTGGGTTTAGTTTACAGAAGAAAAGTTCCCTATTTTTTCAGTCTTCAAAAGGGAATCTTTCTTCTATGGCGGCACTTGTTGTGACATGCAAAAAACCTATGTTGACAGTCATAGGTATATCTGTGGCCTTTCATATATAATCGAGGTACCATATTTTTCGGAGTATAAGATGCACCAAGATTTTGAAGAGGCAAATTTTTTTTAAAAAGGTTTTGCACTCTGCAGACATCCCAAAAACAGCCCGTTTTTTTGTCAAAAAAAGGGGGGGGCATGCATAGTGCTCCTGGAGGCTGGGGGGGGGGGCAAAATGAGCAAAACACAGGCCCTTTTTCGCTTATAGAGTGCTCCTGAGGGCTGGGGGGAGGGAAAAACGGCCTGTTTCAGCTGATTTTTGCCCTCCCCAGCCCCCAGGAGCACTCTGGAAGCCTCCTAAAGGCTATGCACGGCCATTTTAGTGAAGGGGGCAGGGATTCAGAAGACAAAAATTGTTGTATTCAGTGTATAAGACTCACCCAGATTTTCAGCCTCTTTTTTGAGGAAAAAAGGTGCGTCTTATACTTGTCTTATACAATATATCTTTCCTCATTTCTACCCTGTATGGCTGATGCTCAGAGCAATTCAGTGGTGGTATTCTGCCGGTTCACCCTGGTTTAGGCGAACCGGTAGTGGCGGCGGCGGGAGGCTCCACCCATCCGCCCATACATCATCACAAAAGCTCTGCACATGTGCAGAAGCACCACACACGAGCACACTCCCAGTTCTGAACTGGTAGCGAAGGTAATTTCATGCCCGGAGTAATTGTGCCTTTTTCTCATGCATTGCAGGATGTGGATGGTAACAATCTGTTGAGAATGGCTAATTCTTAAGGAGAGTATCCTTAAGATATTTTTTTTGGAAATGGATTCAGAGTCCTGTAACCGAGCTTTCTCCCAGGCCCGTGTATATCTTGAACAAATTCGAAGCCGGGTTGCACCAGGGAGTATTGACATACATGGTCCTGGGAAGCGCGACTACCTGGTGGATGCAGCTAAGCAGATCCGCCTGGCTCTTGAACGGGATGTAAGTGAAGACTATGAAGAGGCATTCAACCACTACAAGAATGGTGTGGATGTGCTGCTCAATGGGGTGCAAGGTAAGATGGGGTTGTGAAGCATCCTGCAGAAAGTGGAGTTTGGAAGCAAGCAGATTGTTTGGTGCATTGTACTTGGTGGTGACTTACATGATTATCAAGGGTGAATTTCTTCTGTCGATTAATCTGTTTTTTCAGGATAGGTTCCAAATGACTCATCCAGGCAGATGAGTGTTACACCGCTTTAAAGCACATAGTGATTCAGATCGCTCTGAGTGGCAGTTTGGTCTATGCTAGTTCATAAAATTTTAGAAACGAGGAAAATTAAGTAATACAATCAGAGGAAAATGAGTGGACATATTGAAAACAAGTATATGTTTATTTTTCCTATTTGTTAGATTTATATCCCACCTTTATTTTGTAAACTCAAGGGAACATATACAATGCTCTGTCCTTTTTTTTCCACAACAACCCTCTGAAGTGGGTTGGGCTGAAGCGTTTGGCCCCAAGTCACTCAGCCAACTTTGCTGCTTAAAGAAGGCCTAGAACTCATAGGCTCCTGATTTCTAGGCCAGAGCCTTAACCATTGCACCATTTAAAGGATTTTGATGCTTTCTCAGTGCGGAAGTGTAATTTGTTGCTGTTTTTTAAATACTTTATTTATTTTATTCAATTTCTATATCCACCCAACTCAACCAAGTGACTCTTGGCTATAGAATAGGATATATAAGTGGCTCAGAATTCAACATGGCACAAAAGCCAAATAAATACACACAAAAAAACAAGGCCTCAACATAAATTAATGCACATAACTCTTGACAGTGGATCCCAACAAGGAGCGCCGTGAAGCCGTGAAGAGGAAGATCACCCAATATCTAAAACGGGCAGAGGAGATCTTCAATTGCCATCTACAACGTAATTTGGGGAATGGCAATTCCACTGAAACGGTGAGAAACTGGAGTTGTGGAGTGTTATTAGGACTCGTTTGTTGTTGTTAGTCGTGAAGTTGTGTCTGACCCATTGCAACCCCATGGCAACGTGCCTCCAGGCCTTCCTGTCCTCTACCATCCTTTGGAGTCCATTTAAGCTCACACCGATGGCTTCAGTGACTCCATCCAGCCACCTCATTCTCTGACGTCCCCTTCTTCTTTTGCCCTCAATCGTTCCCAGCATTAGGCTCTTCTCCAGTGAGTCCTTTCTTCTCATTAGGTGGCCAAAGTATTTGAGTTTCATCTTCAGGATCAGGAGCAGTCAGGGTTGATCTCCTCTAGGACTGACCAGTTTGATCACCTTGCAGTCCAAGGGACTCTCAGGAGTCTTCTCCAGCACCAGAGTTCAAAGGCCTCAATTCTTTGGTGCTCAGCCTTTCTTACGGTCCAACTTTTTAGGACTCTGGTAGAACCTTTAGTGTAGAGTTCCCCGACATTTACAGTTTTGCGGACCAGTGGATAGGGGGAATAGGGATGGTTCCGCACAAGGGGTCAGCAAGTGTGCATGGGTGTGTCCAACTCCATTTACATGAGCGGCGGGCACACACACCTGGCTGCTGCTCGCACAAGTGTGGGATGCGCATGAGTGTGCTCACCCACCGCTTCCATGGCCCTGTTCCAAACTGCTGATGGCCCAGTAGTGGGCTGCGACCTAGAGGTTGGGAATCTCTGTTTTAACGAGTCCAATGTTCGAAACGTTTCTGGATGCAGAGAGGATTAAAGCAGAGCAGTTGTGGAAGAGAGGGGGACATGCCTTCAGAATGAAGGCTTTCTAGCATAAGAAGATGCTAGCCTTGATTTGAAAACCGAAGGGATCTAGTTTAAATCACTTGTCAATTCAGTGCCTCACAGGATAATCTGGTTAGATTGTAGATCCTCTATTCTAACATCCTGCCCAAAGCAGAATTTGTATACTCTACCAGACAAATAATTATTTCACCTTTGCTTAAAAACTTTTCTGCTACATTTTGGATACACCCAGAAATGCAAAAAAAATAAATAAATAGTTTTACGGTTTTTTTTAAAAAAAGAAAATTATTGTTCAGGTAGATATAGTATTTTAAACGAGGAGGTTGCATGGAGACAGAAATTCCATACTTATTGAGTGATATGCTGTTTGAGGTTTATTTTAATTTTATTTACTTATTTATATCCTAACCTTATTTTTATAAATAACTCAAGGTGGCAAACATATCCCTCACACCTTCCTCATTCTATTTTCCCCACAATATCAACCCTGAGAGGTGGGTTGGGTTGAGAGAAAGTGACAGACCAAAGGTTGCCCAGCTGGCTTTCATGGCCAACATGGGCCTTGAAAACTCATGAGTTCTTGTTTTCTAGCTTGGTGCCAAAATCATTAGATCACACTAGCTCTCCATAATAATTACTGTTACTGTCCTTTTTTTTTTTTTTGCTTGTACATCTCCCATCTCTTCTTTATAGATAATCCCAATTACATTAAATGTTAAATCCTGGACATTATAACACAACATAACATTTCTCCTAAATTATTCTGGATTCCTAAATTCAGTTTGGAATGTTTCTATTCATTTCTATTTTATCAGAATTCTCAGATGTACAGGAACGTCTTACTTGAGGTTGTTAATATTGGGGCTGGAATTTTTATATTCAATTACTTTCTCAATTTTTAATCCATAACAGCAAGTCAAAAGCCTGCATAGGTGTGCTCAACCTATATTTGATTTGTGTGTGTGTCACATTATAACTATTATAAAGAGATCCTTGAGTTGAGCTTTAACTCCTGCTCATGTCATCCATGCAGTTCCCTTGGCAACAGTATTAAGTGGCTTCCTGCCACTGCCATCTTCTAACATGCCTTTTACAGACTCCTGAAAAGTCAACATTTCTGGGATTAAACAAGTGTAATGTTTTTGACTCACTTGTTTAATTGGATTCTCTTTATCTAGTTCTATGACGTTTGTGAAGAAAAAACATTTTAGATCGTACTTATGCAGAAACAATAAAAAATGTGTTCCCCAATCTTTTAAGTACCATTGTTAATTTTTTTAAAAGATAAAATTGTTGTTAAGAATTTTGATTATAAGTAAAATCTAATACGAACAAAACTTGAAGAAAAAAAATAGAAAGGAATAAAAAATGCAAGGAAAAAAGAAGAAAACAAAAAATAAGAATGTAATAAAAAAAGGAAAATATATAAAGAAGTTACTTCCAACTTTCATCACAACAAATATAAACAGATTCAGTTACTTCACCCCCTCTCAGGTTACAAACATTTATTTCTTCATCCCATATCCCATCTCTTAACCTCTCAACAAATCCATAAAATATCACCTTTTCAGTTCTCCCAAAGTTGCTTTTTGAAGAGGCAACTGGACATCCTGGTTTTTCTTTGAAGATGTTTTGCTTCTCATCCAAGAAGCTTCTTCAACTTCTTCACAGCTGAAGAAGCTTCTTGGATGAGAAGCTAAATGTCTTCAAAGAAAAACCAAAAAGTCCAGTTGCCTCTTGAAAAAGCACCTTTGGGACAACCACGACCTGGATGACTGAGAATCTCCATAAACTTTTCAGTTTTTGTGCCAGCAGAAAATCCATAAAGGATTTCCAGAACATATCTTGTTTTAACCTTAACCCAAGTTTATATTCCTTTTTACTTCTATTTTTTTTAATTCATTCAAATATAATTGATTTCTCTTCATTCCTTCTTTGTCCCATCTCACAAGACTTCTTCAAGGCTTTAACAAGCGTCTTTTGTAAATCCAATAAGAAATAATTATCTAGGTCACTTTTTTTGTAATTTTCCCTTTAAATTTTGAAACCTCAGTCAATTTCTTTTGTGGATCCTTTTCTAAGCCATTCTCTTGGACCACTTTTAAATAATATTGCTTTGGAGTATGGCATCCTCCCTACTCATAGCATAAAGTTTCATTATATGCTTTGTAAACTCTTAAATTGGGGAGGAATGGAATACTAGAGGTAGAGGAGATGATGGAAAATTTCTGCTGATGTTAATGAAACCTAACCACATGGCCACAGTCTTTTCCATGTGAGTCCTAGAATGCTTTTAACATTATGATTGATCAGTAACATTTGGAGCAAATTTGGGATTGGAAAGGTCAGTAAAGTTTAATTGCTATTAATTGTCTGACTCAATTTTGTACCACTTCAAATGAAGATGTGCTCCCTTTCTTATTGGTTGTAGGGTTACAGCAGTCTTCGCTTCCGTCCGATAAGGACACTCAGCACACCAGTGGAGAATCTCAAGCACTGTAAAGTAGTGGGAATAATTGATAAGGTAACTCATTGTTTATGCTGGAGATGTCTAGCTTCAGGCAATACAAATGTCCCAGAAGAGCAGCTGTGACAGAAGCAGGCATGAATGGTCCTAGAGAACCAACAAGCAGTCCTAGAGAATTATAAAAACGAATCTGCCTATTGTAGCAAATGTGTTTTCACACTGGAGCCTCATTAGAGCAGGACTATCAAACTCGCAGCACACAGCCCGGATGCCTCATGCATTGGCCACATCCACACCCAGTTTAGTAAAAGGGGGGGGGGAGTCGTGATACATCACGTGACATAAAAAAGGCTAGTATGACACCCCTGACTTTGAGGAAGACAAACTCAACATCTGGAAAGTGACGGAATTTTCCTCAGAGATTATCTGTGTGTCCAACATAAAAAGCTCAATAAGGCTGAGCAATTCTGAAATTGGATTGAAGAATCAAAGAATTAAGAGAAGCATGAGGATGAAATCTAAAGAGAAAGTAGTTGGTGGCAGATATTTCTACTGTAGAACAGAATCTCCAGCTTCCCCCATTGCCTTTGTTTGTCAGAAGCTCTGTAGGAAGATTGCAAATGATAATCCCACAATCCCACGATGCTGCAACTATTTGAATATATGCTGTTTGCCAAGCACTCGAAAGTTTGATCACATGACTGGGGTGGGTGGGATGCTGTGACAGTCATAAGTGTGAGAATTGGTCACAAGTCACCTTTTTCAATGCCATTGTAACTTTGGTCATTAAAAGAATGGTGGTAAATTGAGGACTACCTGTACTAACAGATTAATATAGGAGATTAATCATCCCATCCTGAGATGATGTTGATATATGTTGTGTATTGCTTATAGGTGCAAATAGTGCAGGATCCAGCTACTGGGGACACCTTTATATTGAAGGTATGTGGATTTCCCTTTTCCCATTCTCTTTTATGGTTCTAGATATGGCACCTCTGTGTAAGTAACATGAATTATTTTCTCTTGAGTCTGTGTTTCTGGGACCATTGCAGAATAGGAGCATATTAAACGGTTTTTAAATGTGACCGTTTGGGCAGTCTGGATTGTTCTGAGCACTGTGACTGAAACTTTTCTTTGCTGTTTGGATTTGGAGGGTTTTTGTTTTTGTTTTTAATCCAGCTGTGTCAGTACGGTAGCAGGAACTAATTGAGATAAGGGTGAGAATTTGGACCCATTTTATCTAATTTGGGCCTATTTTATTGGCCCATAGCAATTTTGCCTATTGCAAAAAAAAGTCGTTGATGTCTCTTGTTCTGAAGGAAGTTATAAGCAGCTTGATTTTCTGTCACATCAACTGATATATTCAACTCTAGTAATAGTATTAATTATGTTAGCTTAATATGTAAAATCTTCTACCTTTAATTTTGTTCATTAAAATTAATTAGTGCTGATGTCATAGATGGCACCTCTATCAGGGATTGATTAATTGGAAGAAAGTGGCAGGAAGGGACATTTCCTGTTTTTCTTCTCCCTCCCACCCCCCTTTATGACTTTCTGCTCTTCTGATATTGTCCTGAGAGTTCTTTTAGATCTCTAGGGTAGCTTTCAAGAGGGAAACAGGAACTGTGAAGAGCACTTCCTCTAGAATAAGCCAAATTCCTCCAAGTGCTAGATTCAGAGGTGGTATTCAGCAGGTTCTGACCAGTTCTGGAGAACCGGTAGTGGAAATTTTGAGTATTTCAGAGAACTAATACATACCACCTCTGACTGGCCCCACCCCTATCTATTCTCTGCCTCCCGAGTCCCAGTTGATCAGGAGGGAATGGGGATTTTACAGTATTCTTTCCCTGCCATGCCCACCAAGGCACGCCCACGGTAGTAAAAAAAATTGAATCCCACCACTGGCTAGATTCATCCTTGTGAGAATATGGAAGAGGGAATGCATGTATGTAAGTATACATTTGCATCTT